GGGGGGGGGCGGGGCGGTCCCGTGGGGCGGGGGCGCACGAACTCGCGCGCGGAGTGTGAGCCACACGCACGTGCGGGCGCTCGCATGCACCCCCACCCCCCAGCACCACGACAGCCACGGACACTCACATCAGGAGTGTGAGAGACACGCACACCCCATGAGTGTGAGCCACACACATACACTCGCACACCGTGAGTGAGAGAGGCGCACACCTATGCGCACATACACAGGCAAATGCACCGTGAGGGTGAGCTACAGGTGCCCACACACACACACACACAACCCATGAGTGAGAGTGCCACAAGCACAGTTGTGGTGACACGCATGCCGGTGGGGCAAGGCACAGCCCCTCTGCAGGGGCACGCAGCCCATGATGACACCCCCCCAGCACTGAGACAGCCCCACGCGCAGCCCACGATGACACACACACGTGTGCAGTCATGGCGACACACATGCCAGCCCGCTGACACACACCCCTGCCTCGTACAGCGTGACCTCATACCCAGAGGCACACGGAGCATGAGGTCACACACACACACACACACACATGTGCAAACACCCCAGCACGGGGCCCCGGGCAGACCTGCCCCGTCCCGCCCCAGGCTGTGATTACACCTTGACATCAACTGGCACCAACACACACTTGCTGGCTGACAGGCGTGCTCCCGTGGCGCTGACATGCGCTCCCCTTCCCCGGGGGCAGAGGCGAGGGTCCTTCCCTGGGCTGTAGCACCCCAGGACAGTCTGGACCAGCTGCCCCCGGGGCCCACGTCTGCCCTGGCCGGGGCACTTGTGCCGAAGGAGCGGCCCGGGGCTGTCCGCACAGGCCGTGGGTGCAGGGCCGGGGGGCTGGGAGCAGGGTCCCTCGGGACACTCTGCCCGTCCCACCCAGCTGCCAAGCATGACCCCTGCCACCCTCGCCTGCACAGATGAGCACGGCCGTGCTGAAGGTCCCCGGTGCGGCTCCGCTCGGCGAGAAGCGGCTGGGGTCGGAAGAGGCCCCGGCTACCGAGAGCCCCAACGCCAAGCGCCCGCGCCTGGGCCCAGACCCGCTGCCAGGATTCGTGCCCTGCCTGCAAGCCCCCGCCCGCGGCACTGAGGGGCACGACACGAGCGTCCTGCAGATCGGGCCGTACGTCCTGCTGGAGCCCAGGGACGGGGGCCGCTCCTACCGCGCCGCGCACCGGCCCACGGGGGCCGAGTACAGCTGCAAGGTACGGGCGCCCGAGAGGGCCCCGGAGCTCAGGTCACGCGTGTGCCGGCACCTCCCGTGGCCTGGCTCTGGCAGCAGTGGCCCTGCATGGCTGCGTGCCCTGCTACCCCCGGGCCTCTCCACCCCTGGCTGCACGTGCAGCCTCCCTGCTTGGCCCGGGAGAGGACGGGGCGGGGACGGCCACTGAGCCCTCGCTGCCCCCAGGAGCCCAGCCCGCGCCTGGCTCCTTCATGCCCACCCTCGCTGCCCCCAGGTCTACCCGATGAGGAGCTACCAGGAGGCGATGGCCCCGTACGGACGGCTCCCGCCGCACCCCAGCGTGGCCCGGGTGGCCGAGGTGATCCAGGGGGACCGCAGCGCCTACGTCTTCTTCCCACCCAGCCACGGTGACATGCACAGCCACGTGCAGCGCCGCAAGCGCCTGCCCGAGGCCGAGGCCGCCGCGCTCTTCCGGCAGATGGCGGAGGCTGTGGCCCACTGCCACCAGCACGGCGTCGTCCTGCGGGACCTCAAGCTCCGCAAGTTCGTCTTTGCCGACCGGGAGAGGTGAGGCCGGGCGGGTCCGGGGGGCGGACGGGGGGCTCAGCGCAGCTCTCCAGCCGGGCACAGGCCGCGGGGTGCCAGGGGCACAAAGACCATCGCAACTGCCATTGACTGGTCCTTGCCCGGGGCACGCGATGGCGTCCGGGCGCCCAGCCGCGCTCACCCTGCTCGCTAACGCCCGCAGGACCAGGCTGGTGCTGGAGAGCCTGGAGGACGCGCACGTCCTGAGCGGCCCCGACGACGCGCTGTCGGACAAGCACGGCTGCCCGGCCTACGTGGGCCCCGAGATCCTGCGCGCCAGGCCGCGGTACTCGGGGAAGGCGGCCGACGTGTGGAGCCTGGGCGTGGCGCTGTACACCATGCTGGTGGGGCGCTACCCCTTCCAGGAGGCCGAGCCCACCCTGCTCTTCAGCAAGATCCGCCGCGGCGCCTTCTCCGTCCCCGGCGGCCTCTCGGCCCGCGCCCGCTGCCTCGTGCGCTGCCTGCTGCGCAGGACCCCGGCGGAGCGGCTCAGCACCCCGGCCATCCTGCTGCACCCCTGGCTCGCCGGCGCCGGGGGCACCATCCCAGAGCCCTGCTCCGGCCCCTGCGGGAGGCGGGGGCTGGACCAAGTGGTGCCAGACGTCTGGGGCAGGAGGGACGAGGAGGAGCAGGAGGAAGACCTGTACAGCTGAGCCTCTGGAGAGCCCCAGGACGTGCTAGCCAAGCGAGAGGGGCAGGGGCTGGCCTCTGGGCCCCAGCTCGCCTGCAGCCCAGGCCGGATCGCGGCAGGGCGCCCGGCCAACGCTCACGCCCACGTGCCTTAGACCTGGGGACCAGCCACCGCCACGCCCGGACCCGGGTCGTCCCCGCGCCGGCCCAGCGGGGAGCTGCTCGCACTTCCCACACCTCGGACTCAGGGAGGACGGGGTTACTGTGACTGACACCCCCGCCCCGAGTGCCCCGTGCTGGGGGTGCTCGTACCTACGTGTGCCAAAGAACTGGCTGCAACTCCCGTCACTAGCAATGCCCCCAGCCCGCGGGCTGGATGGCAAGCAGCCGGGGCCGTCATCTCTCGCCGGGGCTCTGAATCCACCCGCGCAGGGAGCCCGAAGCTGCCCCCATGTCCAGCCCTGGGGGTCTCCAGCGGGCTGGCTTTGCCCTCCTGCTCCCCCCCACCACGGGCACCCACGGCTGCTCCCAGCCCAGCCCGGGAGGTGCCACCCTGTGCTTCGCACCGGGCACCGCGCTGGCCCGGCTGGACTCGCACACAGCACCAGCACGCTCGTGTCCCGACGTTGGATGAATAATAAAAAGTTCATGACACTAACTCACCCCCACTGCCTGCCTCTGCCACGGGGTGTCGGGCAGGAGTTGGGGGAGCAACTGGGGGGAGAGGGGATGGGTGCTGGGGCCACTCATTGCAAACCAGCAAGCAGGGGCACGACCCCCGATGCCCCCAGGGAGATCCCAGGCCCCAGGCAGCAACCAAGCCCCCACAGCCATCAGGTCTCAGGCCTGCTGTGTGCTGCAGGTGCCTGGGGCAGAGGCTAATCTGGGCGTCTCGGGCCACCGGGGAGGAGGAGGGTCCTAGGGGTGTCTCGCACCTGCTGTCGTAGACCGAAAGCCTGGGCTCGCTGCGCTCCCGGCATGCAGGGAGACCCGGGGGTCCCGTGCACCAGTGCAAACAGCTGCCCGGGTGTGAGAGCCTGTGCACACCCCTGGGACCCAGCCCCGCAGCCCCGGGACCAAGCGCCGCAGGGAAGGCTTTGGCCCATCGCCAAAGGTCTCCGGACGTGGGCGTGGGGCTGGGGGCTCAGTGTGCAACGCGGGGGCAGCGCAGGAAGGTGGCAGCTCCCAGCCCCCCTTGCTCCCTGCGTGGGGCTGCAGGGAACAGCCGGCGAGGGTCAGGTGCACGGGGCTGGCTGCCGCGGGAGGGCTGGCTTTCGGTTTCTACCTGCGCCTCCGCCCTGCCCTGCCCGGGCCCTGCCCCACTTCCTCCTCCTCCGCCTGCTTTCGGTTTCCCTTGCTGTCAGCCCTGAGCCTTCAGCTGGCCCCAGCACTGGGGTCCAGGCGGGGCAGCACGGGGCTCCGGGCGGTAAGTGCGCCAGGCAAGCGCTGGCAGCTCAGGGCTCCGGTCTGCTCGCCTCCACAGCCCCGTCCCCAACTGGGAAGTGCGCGTGGCTCTGGCCCTGTGCCTGCCACCTGCTCTTCCTGGATCGTGGCCCTGTGGCCACCTGGCCCCTGCCCTGCAGGGAGGTGGCAGCTTCACCCCAGACCTTGCCTTGCTGGATGGGGCTGGCTTGGGGCTGGGGGTGCCAGGAGCCCACGCCAGCAGCAGGCTGCGGGACCCAGTGCCCTGCTCCAGCTGGGACTCTGCCCCTTGCCCAGCACCACAGCTGCCTGCCTCAGCGCCGGCTTGGCCATGTCCATGCTGTACAGCCCTTGCTCCAGGCTGCGGGGGGGTTGTGGAGAAGCCGGTTATGTCCCCCCCGATGCCCCCTCTCCCTCTCCCCTTTGGAGCTGCTGCTGGGCACACTGCCCTGGGCAGGGGGAGTGGGGGGTGAGGTCTGCCTGGGCCAGAGTAAAGGCCTGTGCTGGGCTCCCAGCCCTGCCGTCCAGGCTCCCGCAGGACGTCACCCGCTGTTTGCCTTCGGCAGGCCCCGCACGCGGCAGGGCTGGAGGCCGGGGGCGCGGCGCGCATGGAGGAGACGACAAGGAAAGGTGGGCGCGGGTGGGACGCGGTCCTTGTGCCATCACCCCAGGTGGGCGCGGGGGGCATGGGCTGGCCGGCGGGGAAGGGGGAGGCTGCGTGGGGGGCTCAAGCTGGGCAGAACAAATCCAATTCAGGATCCTATTAGCCTGTGCAAGCGGGCAGAGTCTCTGACCCCGCTGGGCCCTGCCTGGCCTCCCCAGCCCGCGGCTCACCCTGCCTGCTCCTGTCTGCAGCGGAGGAGCTGGCCCAGCGGCTGGCCGAGGCCATCGAGAGCGGGGACCAGGTGCTGGCGTGCCAGTGCGCCGGCAAGCTGGCGGAGCTGGCCGTCTCTGTGAGCGTGCGGCTGAAGGAGCAGGCCTACCCCCAGCAAGAGATACGGTGAGCGCTGGTGCTGCCGCGTGCGGGGCAGCCTGGGCAGGAGGGAGTGGGCTCCAGAGGAGAGGACAACAGCCTCCGACTGCTGCTGCCGTAGGACTGAGAGGATAAGGGCCTCGAGGAGACTGGGGCCCCGCGCTTTCCTAACTGGAGGAGAGGACAAGAGCCTGCTGCTGCTGCCCATGCGAGAAGGGTGTGGAGCTGGGCAGTGGCCCCCAGCCTTGAGGGCAGTGCGGGGCAGAGAGGGGCCGTGCCGGGGTATCCGGGGCGATGGGAAGGTGCGAGCAGGAGGCTGAGGCGCCGCGGGGGCCGGGCGGAGCCGTCCAGGGTGGGCAGGGAGGCGCGACTGACACCCCGCTCCTCTGCGCCTCCAGGCTGTGGGTGGGGGTGGAGGACGCCCAGATGTGCACGGTGCCCATCCACCTGCAGGTCCGGCCCCACATGACCCTGGCATCGCTCAAGGACATGGTAGGAGCAGGGCAAGCCCCTCGGGGTGCCCCATGCTGGGCAATGACTGTGGCCGGCTTGCGCCATGCTCCGGTCCGTCCATCTGCCCGCCCTGCTCCCGGCTGCGCTGGGGGCTGGCGGGCCCCGGCGGTCTCAGCCCCGGCCTCTCGGCTCCAGGTGTCCACGCAGTACGGGTTCCCGCCCGGCGTCCAGCGCTGGGTCATTGGGCAGCGGCTGCCCCGGGACCAGGAGACGCTGCTCTACAACGGCATCCGGCGGGACGGCGACTGCGCCTTCCTCTACCTGCTCTCGGCCCGCCAAGCCCAGCTCGGCAGGGACCCTGCCCTGCCCCCCCGCCCCCCAGACCCGGGGCTGGGCACCCAGGTGCCGCAGCCGCACGGGCGCCCGGAGCAGGTGGACGCCGTGCCCAGGGCGACGCAGGCTGGGCCGGACGTGGAGGAGGCGGCGGCCCTGCCCGAGCCCCCCCAGGTAAGGCAGCCCCCTTCTTTGCCCCCTAACCCCTGCTGGGGCCTGTGCCCTGTGGCCCCCGTGCTGGGGGCTCACGCACCCGTCCCCAGGTGGGCTGGGCCTGCCCGCGCTGCACCTACGTGAACAAGCCGACGCGCCCCGGCTGCGAGCTGTGCTGCCAGGAGCGCCCCGAGGGCTACCGCGTGCCCGATGGCTACCGGCCCGACGCGGCGGAGCAGGCGCGGTTGCGAGGCGAGGAGGAGGCTCTCCAGCAGTACCAGCAGGTGAGGGGCAGGGCAGGACGGCACCCCCCAGCTCCCCCAGGAGCCCTCTCCTGCCCCCTCCCCGGCCTGCTTACTGGCAATGTACCCGCTCCCTCCCCTGCAGTGGGTGCCTGTACTCTTTCCACCCGGGGGGGTTTGCCCAGCTTGGGACCCCCCGACCACACACCCGGGGGAGCACTCACGCATGCAGGAGGCAGGGGCAGTCGGGTGCATGCGGAGCCCTTAGGGCTGCAGCTGCTTGCAACTCCCAGCTTCAAAGGGGCAGCTCGTGGCAGGGCATGCTGGGAGACTGCCGGGGGGGGGCTGGGATGTGCTGTCCCCCACCCCGCAACTCTAGCCAGTCCTGGGAGCCAGGCAGCACTCAAGGGGAGGGAGTTCCCTGCTCTGCCACTGTTCACCCTGACGAGCCTGGGCCCATCCCTTAGCCCCATGCTTCAGTTGCCCACCTGTGCTGTCTTGCTGTGCTAATGCTCCCCTGAGCTGCCCCGCGAGCCTAGAATGGGCGTGTTGGGGGCAGCAGGGTCACTCCCTTCCCTTGCCCAGCTATGGGGAATGGGGCAGGGGGCTGCAGGCAGGAACCGGGGTTGGGGGCAGAGCTGACGGGGCCGGGGTGGGTGCCCAGGTGAAGGAGCAGCGGCAGAAGGAGAACTACGAGCAGCTGCTGCAGCTGGACGGGCAGAGCCTGGTGCCTGCCGACGCTGCCATCGAGTGCCCCATCTGCTTGGGTATCGTGCCGCCCGGCGAGGGCGTGATCCTGCGCGAGTGCCTGCACACCTTCTGCAGGTAGGGCTGGCTGTGCCCACGGGCCCACCCCAGCCCCTGGCAGCCATGGCCAACATCATGGGGGTCCCTCAGGGCTGGAGGGATGGGGGGTGCAGCAGGGGTATAGGCAATGAGGGGCATCACCCTGCTCCACTCCCCTATCCATGTGCCCCTGGCCCCATACCCACCTGCAGGAGCATCACCTCCAGGCTGCAGTCATGACCCCCCCAGCCTGGAGGACCCCCAGGGCCCAGGTCCAGCTCCTCCCTGGCTGGGAGCACCCAGGATCGTGGCCCTGACTCTGCGGGTCTGTCTGACCCCACAGGGACTGCCTGAAGGGCACGATCCTGAACAGCCCGGAGCCCGAGGTGCCCTGCCCCTACATCGACAAGAACTACTCCTGCACGGGGCAGCTGCTGGAGCGGGAGATCAAGGCGGTGGGTGCCGGGGCAGGAGCAGGAGGGACCTGGGGGGTGCAGGGAGCTGCAGAGGCTGGGTGAGGGCTGGCAGCAGGGGGCACAGGCGGGTGCCTGGGTGCTGATGGACACCCCCCCAGCTCCTGAGCCCAGAGGAGTACCAGCACTTCCTGGACCTGGGCGTCTCCATCGCCGAGACCCGCAGCCCCTGCAGCTACCACTGCAAGACGGCCGACTGCCGCGGCTGGTGCTTCTTCGAGGACGACGTCAACGAGTTTTCCTGCCCCGTGTGCCTGAAGGTCAACTGCCTGCTGTGCCAGGTGAGCGAGGGGCGCTCCGCCTGGGGGGCCTGGGCTGGGCGCCGGGACCGGCCCGCCTCTCTCCAGGATGCCCAGAAGCCCCCGAGATGCTGCCTCGGTGTTGGGGGAGACGGTCCCTGCCTGCTCCCCGCAGGGCCATGGGCTGGACAGACCCCCGCGTTGGGGTGGAAGGCACTAGGCAGCTGGCAGAGGGGCGAGGAGGGCTTCAAGTTGCTGAGGAGCTGCCCCAACACGGGGTGCAGGGGGTGGCAAGCAGGAGACCGCCCCCCCCACCCCGGTGTGACTCCGGGCCCGCCCCGCAGGCCATCCACGAAAATATGAACTGCAAGGAGTACCAGGATGACCTGCAGGCCCGGGCCGAGAAGGACCAGGCCGCACGGCAGACCAGCGAGATGCTGACGGTGAGAGCCCCCAAGGGTCGCCCCGCGGGGCTGCTGCGGCGGGAGGGGCCGAGCCAGACTGCGGGCGCAGCCCCCGGGGCTGACGCTGCCTTCCCCCTGCAGAGGATGGTGCAGCGCGGCGAGGCCATGCACTGCCCCAGCTGCCACATCGTGGTGCAGAAGAAGGACGGCTGCGACTGGATCCGCTGCACCGTGTGCCACACCGAGATCTGCTGGGTCACCAAGGGGCCGCGCTGGGGGCCGGCGGTAGGCGCCTGGGGGGATCCCCCTCCCCTGTGCCACCTCGTGGCTCTGAAAAAAAAGGGGGGGGTTCCCAGGCTGCGAGCAGGGTGTTCACTCTGAAACCTAACGGTGGCCCAAACAAGCCAGGTTTGCATGGCGCTGTCCTTTCAGGGCCAGCAGTGGGAGGCTGCCAGGGCTGTCCCTGGTGAGCTGCTGGCTTAGTACGGAGCCCCCATTATCCTCCCAGAGGGAGGGAGAAAGCAGGATGTCTCCGTGCGCCCCCCAAACCTGCCCCTGCCCAGAGCACACACTGGCCTTCAGGGGCTGGAGTGCAGGACTCAGGGCTCTGCCCCCCTTCCTTGCCTTGCTACCTGCCCCCATGACCTCCGCTGTCCCCCGCTCTCCGCAGGGTCCCGGTGACACGAGCGGGGGCTGTCGCTGCCGGCTGAACGGCGCGCCCTGCCACCCCCACTGCCAGAACTGCCACTAGGCACCGAGGAGCCAAGGGGGGGGCAGGGGGCAGGGTCCCTCCATGGCCCCCCGACACTACCTGACTCCACTCGGGGGGCCGAGCCCTGCTTGGGGCTGGGATGGGCTGGTACGTTGTGCCCCGGACATCCCTGGAGCTTGGTGCAGTCAGCCCCACGGAGGGCCAGCCTGCTGGGTTGGGCTGTGGGAGGCCTAGGCCTGCCAGCATCCAGGCTGAGGGGCTGCCGGTGCGTGCTCCCACGGTCCCCCAGGCCTGGCGAGGTGGGACCATCCCGGAGCTCAGGGGACGGCAGGCACTCGCTCATCGATTGTCAACCCAGTGGCTGGGGGCAATAAAGACCTGCGGGCCGCGCAGGGAGGATGTCACGCGTCTGGCTTTTCTCCCCGCGGTGCCCGTTGGGCAGGGGTGCCTAGTGCCAGGCACCAGCCTCCAGCCCTGGACTTGGGGCCCCCCCGTCTCATGGAGGTGCTCGGCCTTTCCCAGCTGTTTGGCAGCCCTACCCTTAGCCACACGTGCAAATGTGCCTGGCCACAGCCCACGGCAGGCCTGGGAAGAGCCTCAACGCAGGTCGGAGGTGGGACGGCCCTGCTCTGCCCCCGGGCAGGCACGGCGGGGCGGGTTAGTAACCGGGCACTGTTTATTTGACACGGCAACAAGCCTATACAATCTTGGTGTGCACGCGTATGTACAAGTCTATACAGAGTCGCTAGCCCCCGGAGGAGAATGTTTTCCTTCAGGCCAGGAGGCAGGGGCCTCAATGTGCGCAGACCCACCCCCTTCAGAGCCTAGCAGGGGTCGAACAGGCCCCAGCGCAGGTGCAGAGCACCGCTCGGAAAGACGATGCCGGGAGAGGGAAGCCCTGCCCGGCTGTCTCTGCCCACAGCCATAGCCACAGAGCTGCAGGACGGGTGGGAGGGTGGTGCTTTGAGCTGCGCCACCATGGGACGTCCCCCTGCTCCCTCTACCACCTTTGAGGCACCTTGCAATTCACCCCAAGCTACATAAGGGCTTGGTGCTGCAGGTAACAGGGCAGGGGCCATCGCCTGAGCCTGCAGCCAGCCAGAGCCCGTCGGAAAACACCCTCCTCTTCTGGGGCTTTTAAAGTGCTTCGTTAACAGCTCTTCACGCTGCCCTCCACTTATTGTGGCGTCGGCGCCAGCCCCCTCCCACACCGAGGGACTCGCGCCATCGTGTCACCATGCAGCAGACATGAGGATGCGCTGGGAGAAGAGTCGTGAGGAGCTAGCGGATCCCCCGGCCGCGGAAGCAGCCGTCACTGGGAGCCAACACGCCCGGCGAGCAATGGGGCAGAGCTCAGGGCACCCCTGGGAGTCCAAGACCCTGCAGAGCGGGTGCCGCAGCAGGGACAGCCTTGCTGCTCAGAGTGCTGATGATGCTGGACATGGGCAGGTGCACAGTGCCTTGCTGCCAGGCCCAGAGCTTGCTGCTCTTCTCCAGGACTGAGGCTCCCACAGGACACAGCTTGGCTCCTGGGCACGGGAGGGGACAACCGCAGGCGAGGCAGGGATGGGGTAAGGGCACTTACGGGAGGCTTAGCAGCAGAGAGGCAGGCAGAGGTAGAGGCGTGTAGTGTCTATTGGCTTCACTTGGGTCAGGTGAAAGTCCGGGAGTGTGAGAGCAGGGAGCGCGGGGACCTGCTGCGAAGGGGGTAGGGGGACCTGGAGGGGAAGGGGACAGGGGGGCACGTGCTGGCACTAGTTTCAGGGTTAATGCCAAAGGCAGAAACATTAGTCTGCAAGAGACCAAGCAGGGTTGGGGAGGGCAGGGAGGAGAGTCCTCCAACAGGGATTGAAGAGGGTGCTGCTCTAACAAGGTGCCCACTTAGCAAGCCCCAGGCAGGGGCAGTATCAGAGACTACTAGGACCAGCACGGTGCCATGCTCACCAGGCTCTAACATCCCCTGCCCAGCCCCAACTGCCCCTCTACCTGCCGACGCGGGGTGGGTCTTTATCTCCGTTTCGACTACCACTGGGGGAAGGCAGAAGCTCTCCAACTGGCCCCTGCACTGAACAACTCAGCACAGGTATGACCATGCCAGGACATGTCAGCTCCCAACACCCAGGCACAGGAGAGCAGGGGCTCCATGCCCATGTGGGGAGGAGAGGAGGAGGCAACAGCGCTCCTGTGTCGTGCTTCTGGGCAGAGCTTTGAGCCAGACCCCTGGGCCACGGTCCTGGAGGGGAGCCGTGTGGAGACGGCCCCTCGCTGCCGTGCTCAGGGGAAGATCTGCAGTTCGAACTTGGGGGCCCACTCCAGCGCACTCTTCACCACAGCCAGTGCCGCAGCGCCCAGGGCCACCGTCAGCCCCATCACTGCCAGCTTGACCAAGCGGTTGGTCCTTGGTTTGGTCAAGACTGACTTCGTCCGCTCCTCCCCTCGGAGCCTCTCCCAGAAACGCTGTCGTAGCACCATGTCCGGTCGCTGCTGGGCTGATGCCAGCTCAAAGTCCTTGAAGGTGGAAGCAGCCGTCCTGCAAGGGGAGAGGCAGGGGGTGAGAACTGCAGATGGACGGGTTCCCCGGGATCCCCAGTTGGCAGCCTCCAAGACGAGGAGTGCTGCTTATGGGGAACCGTGGTCAGTCCTGACAGCAGCTAGAGGGGTGCAGGGTCTGTCAGTGCCTTTGTTACATCCAGCTCAGGTCAAGCCCCATGATGGGTCCCTGCCCTGGCACTGCCCAGGGGCAGAGCACAGCACCCCAGGTCCTGTTGTTTGCATTGAGTGTGGCTCTTTCACTGCCTGTGCCAAAACCAAGCGGCGAAGAGAGCCCTGGTGCTGGCAATGCCGGAGCTGGAACCCAGCCCTGGGGGGAGCTGCCACAGCACGGAGGAGACTGGGGAAGCTGATGTAGGAGTGCAATGAGTCGGTTGAGTGGGGCCAGGCTGATGCTTGGAATGGCCCAGGCACGGGGCAGGTTCAGAGCTACGCTTCATTCCCATGACAGATGTGAGGTTTCCCATGGGGCCCGGTACTCACCGCTCGGCATGCTGCCGTGCCGCCCGGGCGAGCTCCGAGGGTGGGAACTGCACAAAGAGGTCGCCCGCCTGGCTAATGAGGGTCTCGTAGGGCAGGTCCTGCGGGATCTGTGATAGGAGGTGGTGCACGGAGGCCATGTCGCACTCGCAGTCCAGTACTTCCTGCTCCCGGTGCAGCACAATCTGCAACGCAAGCGGTCGCTGACCCTCGCTCCTTCAATTCACTAGTACAGCCGGCAGGGCCCGAAGGGAACAGCCCCCCCAAGGGTTGCCCCAGCTCTGGGCAGGCACCTGACAATTCAGCTCACCCCCGATGGGCTGAGGGAACAGGGACTTGTCATTCACCCAGGCCCAGAACACCCGCTGGAACTAGCAGGTGACAGGTTTAGAACGGACAAGGGAAAGGAAGCACCTACCACAGCAGCAAAGTAAATGGGCATCAGCGGGTGGCAGGCCAGGAAGAAGTCGTATAATCGCACCACATGCCGCATGTCAGACAGGACGTGCCCAAACCACGTGATCAGCCAGCTGAGTGCAAAGATGGTCCCCACTTCAGCACTGCGGAGAGGAAGCCCCCGTCAGACAGCCCCTGCTAGCCCCCCCGGGCCAAACTCTTGGGGTGCGGGGGGAGCCTGACATCACCTCACCTCTGAACTGCGGGGCTTGGACTCAAAGTTCCCCCCCCCCCCCAAGTCTCTTCTGGACCGTTGCACCTCTCTCTGCCCCAATTTCAATCCATTTCCAAGTCCCAACCAGTAAATCCCAGCACTGCAGAGAAGACAGCCCCAGACCGGCTGGGAGCCTCCCTGGAGGCAGCCTGGGAGCTGGCCACGTACCTCTGCATGAAGTCATGGACTTCAGGGTTCACTTGGTCTATTATGGGCATCAGGTAATTCAGAATGTGCTTGGTGTTGTCCATCGTTGGGTCCATAAAATCCCTGTGGATGAAGAGTAGCTGTCAGGGGCAGGGCTCCTCAGACACTATCCCACCAGGCAGGCCAGCTGCACCCCAGGAACCTTGGGAACCTGGACCTGCATCCACCCCTGGCCTCACAGCTGGCATTCAGCAGAGGCCTCTCCCCTGCCAGAGCCGTGTCTCGGGGTGTAAGCAAGCCCAGAGACACCTTCCTGGGGCCCTACAGTCCAGCTCACGGCTTCTGAGGACAGGGGGTGGGAAACGACTCCCTTAGGACCAGCCTGGCATCCAGATTAGGGGACAAAACAAGAGACCTGCTCAATAAATCAGACCCCCTCTTAAGGTCCCCCCGGCACTTTGGCTGCCTGGTCCTACCTCGCGAGTGCACCAGGCTCTGTCCCATGAATGTTTCAAGCCCCCAGGGAGCTGTGCATTCCCCCGACTCGAGCCCCACAACAGGAGGGCCAGACAGTCCTTAGCCCTGCCTGTCTGTCATACCTGAGATGATGGGTCGACAGCTTCTCTACCAAGGCAGTTGCCAGCCTGTTGCCCACGACCAGCAGGAAGGTGACCACGATGTCGTGGTAGCCTTGGTAGTAGTGCAGCTGCGGGTTGCGCTTCAGGACGTGCAGGATGATGTCGATCAGGTCCTCCTGCAGCCCCTCCCGCTGCTCGTCGGGCATCCCTGTGGGGACAGCGGCCGTGAGAGCGGACCAGTCCCATCTAACAGGCAATTACAGTCTCAGAGCTCAACACAGGCCAGCCAACATCGCTGCAAGGCAGGGCCTGGTGCAGCAACCTCAGCCCAACCTAGGGGCCAGGAACTTGATCCTGGACAAGCTTTTTGAGAGAATTATTCTGGCGCATATCCATGAGGGGCCGGGGGGGAGATTATGCTTAGGGGCAACCAACACAGGTTTATTAGCGGCAGGTCATGTCAGACCAACCTGGTGGCCTTCTACAACCAGGTCACCAAATCCTTAGATGCAGGGGTAGCAGTGGACGTAGTCTTCCTGGACTTTCGGAAGGCCTTCGACACTGTCTCTCACCCTGTTCTCATTAAGAAACTGGGAGGCTGTGGTGTCGACACCCACACAGTCAATTGGGTCATCAACTGGCTGGAGGGCCGCACCCAGAGAGCGGTGGTGGACGGGTCATTTTCAACCTGGAGGGATGTGGGCACTGGGTTCTCCAGGGCTTGGTCCTCAGGCCCGCACTGTTCAACATCTTCATCAGTGACTTGGACGAGGGGG